TGTTGTTAATCTTATCAGGTTTTTGCTGTTTTTTTCAACTTTCCTCCCTTTCTTACATTTTATTTTTTATTGTTTTTTTTTTCCTTTTCTAGCCCTGAAATTACCTTTTGCTAATCCGGTTTGTGTAGAGAGACAGAGCACCAGGTTGGGGGTTAGGGACCTCCTCCTTTCTTTTCATGTGAACTTTAGTCCTTCATTGTTAAAATGAAAGAATTAGACTCAGTGATTTTTAAGTTTTCTTCTAGCTTTTAAAATTAATTCTAACATATCTTACATAAACACTTGGAAAGATGTAGGAAAATATAAAATAATCTATTCACTAGTACTTACTGAGCACTGTCTGTGAGCTCACCCCTGTGTTGGGCTGACCTATGTTTACATTGGGTGGGAGGAGAGAATTATAAGGGATGGTTTTTTTTCTTTGAAGAAAATGAATAGCCCAAAGACAAAAACAATGTAAGACAGCTCAAAGCGAGTTAATTGTCAAAATCACAAAAGTGGTTGACTTGTACAATTTGTTAGTGAAGAAAAACTTTACCCTCTTAGGTTCATTGTATGGGGGCCTATGAATTAAACTGTGAAAAAGATTAGCAAGAGAGAAGATAGATTTTTATTTATGAATCTACATGTGAGTTCACAGAAAAATGTGACTCTCCAAACAGGTAAAAATGGGGGTTTATACACCTAATTTAATGGGAATAGGTAGAGGGAAGAAAAGTCTTCAATGGAAAGAACAAATGGCTTTCTATTTTTTTTTTTTTTTTTTTTTAAATATACTTTAAGTTCAGGGATACATGTGCATAACATGTAGGTTTGTTACACGGCACATACATGTGCCATGGTGGTTTGCTGTACCCGTCAACCCATCATCTACATTAGGTATTTCTCCAAATGCCATTCTTCCCCTAATTCCGCACCCGCAACAGGCCCTATTTGTAATGTTCCTCTCCCTTTGTCCATGTGTTCTCATTGTTCAACTCCCACTTATGAGGGAGAACATACTGTGTGTGTTTTTCTGTTCCTGTGTTAGTTTGCTCAGAATGATGGTTTCCAGCTTCATCCATGTCCCTGCAAAGGACATAAACTCTTCCTTTTTTTATGGCTACATAGTATTCCATAGTTTATCTAGTCTGTCATTTGGATTGGTTCCAAATCTTTGCTATTGTGAACAATGCTACAATAAACATACATGTGATGTGTCTTCATAGTAGAATGATTTATAATCCTTTTAGTATATACCCCGCAATGGGGTTGCTGGGTCATATGGTATTTCTGGTTCTAGATCCTTGAGGAATCCCACATTGTCTTCCACATTGGTTGAACTTACACTCTTACCAACAGTGTAAAAGCATTCCTATTTCTCCAGATCCTCTCCACCATTTTTCTAACTTTTTAATAATCACCATTCTCACTGGCATGAGATGATATCTCATTGTGGTTTTGATTTGCATTTCTCTAATGACCAGTGATGATGAACTTTTGTTGGCCACACTAATGTCTTTTTTTGAGAAGTGTCTGTTCATATCCTTTGCCTACTTTTTGATGGGGTTGTTTATCTTTTTTTTGTAAATTTGTTTAAGTTCTTTGTAGATTCTGGATATTAGCCCTTTGTCTGATGGGTAGATTGCAAAAATTCTCTCCCATTCTGTAGGTTGCCTGTTCACTCTGATGATAGTTTCCTTTGCTGTGCAGAAGCTCTTTAGTTTAATTGGATCCCATTTGTCAATTTTGGCTTTTGTTGGCATTTCTTTTGGTGTTTTAGTCATGAAGTCTTTGCCCATGCCTATATTCTGAATGGTATTGCCTAGGTTTTCTGCAACGGTGTTTATTGTTTTAGGTCTTATGTTTAATTCTTTAATCCATCTTGGGTTAATTTTTGTTTAAGGTATAAAGAAGGTGTCTAGTTTCTGTTTTCTGCATATGGCTAGCCAGTTTTCCCAACATCGTTTATTAAATAGAGAATCTTTTCCCATTACTAGTTGTCAGGTTTGTCAAAGATCAGATAGTTGAAGATGTGTGGTGTTATTTCTGAGGCCTCTGTTTGTTCCATTGGTCTATATATCTGTTTTGGTACCAGTACCATGTTGTTTTGGTTACTGTAGCCTTGTGGTATAGTTTGAAGTCAGGTAGTGTGATGCTTCCAGCTTTGTTCTTTTTGCTTAGGATTATTGTGGCTATGCGGGCCCTTTTTTGATTCCATATGAAATTTAAAGTAGTTTATTCTAAATCTGTGAAGAAAGCCAATGATGGTTTGATGGGGATAGCACTGAATCTATACATTACTTTGGGTAGTGTGGCCATTTTCATGATACTGAGTCTTCCTATCCATGAACATGGAATGTTTTTTCATTTAGAACAAATGGCTTTCTAGGGGAACATGGGAGATAAGAAGGTTTATACCGATGTTTGTTTATGCAGATATGACTGGTCTTCTCTGTCTTTTTTCCAGTAAATCTCCCATGAAAGGGGATGTCTGGCAGCCTTAAATCCCAGCAGTTTCTGTCTTCAGTCAGTTACGAAAGGTCCAAAAAGTCTTTGGTCTTTATTCATTTAATCTCAGATATCTTTTTAGTTTAAAGTAATCTTCATAGTACCTCTGGAAGTTTAAGTGGTCCTCACAAATTTATATATTGTTTCTTAAGCGTCTAGTAATGCCACCTGACTTACATAAAAACCCTTTTGTGTTTTTCCATTGCTCTTAGTTTGAGTATGGAATTCCTTAACATTACCAGCAAGACCTTGCATGGTCTATTGCCTATTCTCATCTTTTTGTGTTGTTTTTTTGGAATTCAAGTTCTGGAATACATGTGCAGAGTGCGCAGGTTTATTACATAAATATACATGTGCCACGGTTGTTTGCTGTTACCTATCATCCCATCATGCATTAAGTATTTGTGCTAATGCTCTCCCTCCCCTTACCCTCCACCCCCCCAACAGGTCCTGGTGTGTGATATTCCCCTCCCTACGTCCATGTGTTCTCATTTTTCAACTCCCACTTATAAGTGAGAACATGAGGTTTTGGGTTTTCTGTTCCTGTTTAGTTTACTGAGAATGATGGCTTCCAGCTTCATCCATGTCCTTGCAAAGGACATGAACTGATTCTTTTTTGTGGCTGCATAGTATTCCATGGTGTGTATGTGCCACATTTTCTTTATAAACCACTTTCTTCCTTGATCTCTGTAAGTGAGGTGTGTTGGCCATCCTTTAGTTCCTTAAATTTATTACAGTTGCCCCTTGAACAAATAGGCTTGAGATACATGGCTCCACTTACATACAGATATTTTTCAGTCAAATGCGGATGGAAAATACAGTATTCGTGGCATGCAAAACACAAGTATATGGAAGGTGGACATTTTCTATGCTCTGGTTCTCCCGGAGTGAGTGCAGGAATTGAGTATGTGGGGATTTTGATATTTGAGGGAGTCTTCAAACCAGATCCCCAGTAATACGGAGGAATGACTGTATATGCTCTGTGCTATTGGGCCTTTCAGCATTTTATCATCTCCCTCTTGCCTCTTGGTCTAGTTAACTTGTGATCTTTTAGAATGCTTTTTACCATTTCTACTACTACAACACTTGTCAGGGTCAATATTATTTCCTGTTGGATCATAGCCACATAATAGGTTATTGTTTCTACTCCTTTCTTTCTAAAATTACTCCATGTGGCAGTCAGAGTGATAATTCTAAAATATAAAATATGATATTCCTTTTCTGCATTGTATATGAGATCCACAGGACTGTTTCCTTTTCATCATTTACTTCTCAGCTCAAAAATCAGCTTCTTCTTAATGCTTTCCTTGATAACCTCAATTAAAGTAGCAGGTGATTTTAAAGAAGAGTATCTCTCACAAAATGTGGCGCTTTGTCTACATAGAGACAATTTTTTTTTTCTTTTTTAAAACTCTTCTGAATCTTTGTGTATTCTATCTACTCTTAATAGAATCTTTGTGTTTTAATTCTTGATTATAATTCTATATTTTTAAAAAGTATCTAAAAAGTATTTTATATATATGTAGAAAATGTATACATATATTTTCTAAGTGTATAGTTTAATGAATTTGCACAGACTGAACTCATGCAGAACAAAAACAATACCCTGGAAGCCCTTCTTGTGCCCCCTTCCGGTCACTGCTTCTTTTCCTTATAGGGATAACCAAATACTCTTCTGACTTAACACATTAAGTTAGTTTTGGCTGTTTTATATTTGATGTAAATGAAAACATATAATGATTATGTAGCTTCTTTTGCTTAACAGTTTATGTTTGAGTATGTAGTTATTGTTCATTCATTCTTACTAATCTCTGGTTACACAGCTTGAAATATAAGATGTACCTAAAGGACCATGACTATTGTCTTTAATCCCTGGGATTCATTTTGTCCTAGATAAGTCTTGAAATTAGATAGTATGAGTCCTCCAACTTTGTTCTTCAGTACTGTTGGCCATTCTAAGCCTTTTGCCTTTCCAAATTATAGTACCGTCCTTTTTCCATGTAAATTTTGTAATTGCTTGTTGAGTTTTACAAGCAAGCATACTAGAATTTACATCAGGATTTGTTACATCTGTAAATCTGTTCAGAGAAATTGACGTCTTAACAATATCGTTATAGTTCATGAACATGGTGTATCTCTCCATCTGTGTAGAATTTCTTTAGTAAGTATTTTATAAATTTTAGCAAACAGAACTTACACATATTCTGGTAGATTTGTACTTAAGTATTTTATGGGTTTTTTTTTTTTTTTTTTTTTTGGTACTGTATTTGGAATGTAAGTTTCATGTTTTGTTCTCTGCCCTATCTTCAGTCTCTAAGAAACAGCGCAAAGACTTTATTGAATGAATATCTGTCTGCTGTCAAAGAGTTCATACTCTAGGAGCTGAGAAAGAAGTACACAATTAAAAGATGATACAATTTAAGGAAACTATTAAAAAAAATTCTGTGGGAGCTCCAGGTGGGAGCAATAAAGTTCATGTAACAGATTTCTTTTTCTTTTTTTCCTATCAGAATTGAAAGAAGATAAACCTAGGACAAGGTTGTTTAATGATGCAGAAAACAAGAAGAATTCAATTAAAATGTGGTTTAGCCCTCGAAGTAAGAAAGTCAGATATGTTGTGAGTAAAGTTTCAGTGCAGACCCAGCCTGAAATAAAAAAAGATGTAAATGCTCAGCAAGACTCAATGTATGAATTTGTTTCCACAACTCCTCCTGCAGATGTTTCTGAGAAGGCTAAAAAGCCTTCTGCAAGATCTCTAAAAAAGAAAACTTTAGCTGAAATCAACCAAAAATGGAATTTACAGGCAGAAAAAGAAGATGGCAAATTTGATTCCAAAGAGGAATCGAAGCAAAAGCTGGTATCCTTCTGTAGCCAACCATCCGTTATCACCAGCCCTGAGATAAATGGTGAAATAGACTTACTAGCAAGTGGCTCCTTGACAGAATCTGAATGTTTCGGAAGTTTAACTGAAGTCTCTTTACCATTGGCTGAGCAAATAGACTCTCCAGACACTAACAGCAGGAATGAAATAGTGACTCCTGAGAAGGTCTGCAAAAATGATGTTACGTGTAGGAAATCTTTGCCATTAGAAAATAGTGGGAAACGTGGCCAAGACAGTAGACTTTCCATTCCTGTTTCTAAGAAATGTAGAAGCAGCAATCTGAACACCAGTGGAGATTTTGTTAAGCAAATGGCGCCCTCAGAAAATACTCCATTGCCTGAAAGTTCTCCAGACACTAAGAGCAAGAATGAAGTAGTGACTCCTGAGAAGGTCTGCAAAAATTATCTTACGTCTAAGAAATCTTTGCCATTAGAAAATAATGGAAAATGTGGCCAACACAATAGACGTTCCAGTCCCATTTCTAAGAGATGTAGAAGCAGCATTCTGAGCACCAGTGGAGATTTTGTTAAGCAAATGGTGCCCTCAGAAAATATTCCATTGCCTGAAAGTTCTTTGCCACCTTCCTGCAAACGTAAAGTTCGTGGTACATCGGGGAGGAAAAACAGTAATATGTCAGACGAATTCATTAGTCTTTCACCAGGTACACCACCTTCTACATTAAATAGTTCAAGGTACAGACGAGTGACATCTAGCCCCTCAGCAATGAAGCTGTTACCCAATATGGCTGGGAAAAGAAATCATAGAGGAGAGACTTTGCTCCATATTGCTTCTATTAAGGTAGGATGCTTACTCTGAAATACCATCTCAGAATGAGGCCAACTGTAAAGCAGTTTCTCTGCAGTTTGTGAAAAAGGGTGTAACCTTTCACAGGCATGATACGTGCTCTGAACCAGAGAAGCAAAATTCACGGGGACCGCATTTCTACTTCAGTTGGAGCAGTGGCCCCGAGTCTGGACAGCATGATCTTGTAGGAAAAAAACAATATTTGAATATTTCAGCTTTTACTTTGCCAAGTGCTTTTGCTTTTGTCTATTTTATATTCAGTTTTTATCATTTTGTTTACCTGGTCTCATGCTTTATGAATGTAGACAATTGCTACGTTATTACAGGCAGCGATGTTTACTTAGTAAAAGAGCACACTAGAATTTGGAAGGTTGAAAGATGTGATCTGTACATCTCTCCAGTGACCTGGACATTTGACTCTTAGAAATTGCTACTCTGGTTCACCACAAAGGAGCTGCTTTTTGCCCTATAATCAGCCATTCCTTTTTACTGACCCATTCATTGACGTTAATTCTCTTTAATTATTGCCTCAACACCTGGGATGTGGCAGCATTTTTTGGAACCTGGCCTATTTTCTGAACACTTGGCAGTGGTTAATCTTTGAAATTGATACAAATACTGCAAATTAAACAGAGCAGTAAGCACTATAGCTTTATAGGCTTTGCTCTGTGATTTCATGCAAGTGTTAGGAAAGTGTGATATGGTAGACCTTAGTACTAAATTAGAATAGCTTTCATGCTCTCTCAGTGACTTTACATAGTAAATTCACCCAGGAAATCCTTTGGTCTTCTGGATGGGTAGAGAACTTTGGGATGTCTGGGAGGAACCATCTGGAGGCTCACAAATATAAGGCTGGTGGGCAACATGAAACATTTGGGAAGAACACGGAGTAGGAGTAGACATTGAGTGTGGTCTCAAGATTTCTGTACTTCTGTCTGGAGAAAGCACAGTACAAAATGAGCTTATCCCAACTGCTGCTGGTTCATTTTCCTTGCTTTTCTTCCAGATTACTGAAAAATACAGTCAGCTCTGTGTATCTGTGTGTTCTGTGTTTATGGAGTCAACCAACTGCAGATCAAAAATATTTGGGGGAAAAACCAGTAACAATATGTAATAAAAAGTAATGCAAATTTTAAAATATCATGTAATTATTTACATATCATTTGTATGATATTACGTATATAAGTAATAGAGAGATGATTTAAAGTATACTGGAGGGTCTGTGTAGGTTATTTGCAAATACATCATTTTATATGAGGAATCTGTGGATTTTCGTATCTGCTGGGATTCTGGAACCAATTCCTCACAGATACTGAGGCATGACTGTACTCTATATCTAATACCAGTGAGGCAGGGACCTTACAATATGACCACATATCCTTTGGACAACTTGAATTTTTGAACTTGTCTCTGGTTGTGTTTTAGTTTGATTTCTCCAAACCTTGACTTGGAAAATAAGACTTTTTTGTCATCTTTGTTAAATATATATGCATATTATACATACATATAAGCTATTCTGATCTTAACAGAAAGTTATTAATGCTTCGTAGACATAAGTAGCTAATGTAATTATTTTTGTTCATTTTTCTGTCTAATGTATAATACTTTATATATTTTGCTTTCTGGGAATTTTCAGAACATCAGGTAAGCATTTACTTATATTGGTGGAGACTTTTTCTTCTAACCGTAAGAATAATTTATCTTTATTAATCAGGATCCCTAGGATCTAGGCCAGAGTTTTGTAAATTCTTTCTTAAAGGGGCAGTTAGAGTAAACATTTTCAGCTTTGCAGGCCGTGAAGTCTCTATCATAGCTCTTCAACTCTGCTGTCATAGTGCAAAAGTAGCCATAGACAATATGCAGGCTAGTAATTTTTTATATACAAAATCGGGTGACTGGCCGACAGGCCATAGTTTGCCTATTCTTGGTCTAGGCATGGGAAGAAACCGTAATAGAATATTAAATCAGGAAAAAATGATGGTATACTCCTGTCTTGGTGAATTTTCTTTATTGATATGTTCGAGATTACTTCATATGAGATTTGTCAGTTTACTTAGAGTTTTGCCAGAATTAGAATAATCCATCTTTATTTCTTTGAACTTAATTATTAAATGCAATTATTGTCACCAGTTGTCAGGTTATGTTATGGTACATTTTTTAAAAGTTAATTGATTTTTATTGTTTGTTCAATCACCAGTTAATAGTATCCTTTAAAAATTTTTTGAGTTGAATATATGCCTCTTACCTTAGCTTTATTTTAATAGACAGATTCTTAAAATCAGTAGATTTGTTAGTGTGTGTATATATATATATATTTTTTTTTTTCTTTTTTTTTTTTGAGAGAGTGAGTCTCACTCTGTCACCCAAGCTGGAATGTAGTGGCATGATCTTGGCTTATTGCAACCTCTGCCTCCTGGATTCAGGCAATTCTCCTGCCTCAGCCTCCTGAGTAGCTGGGATTACAGGCACCTGCCACCCCACCTAGCTAATTTTTATATTTTTAGTAGAGACGGGGTTTTGCCATGTTGGCCAGGCTGATCGCTAACTCCTGACCTCAGGTGATCTTCCCACCTCGGCCTCCCAAAGTACTGGGATTATAGGCATGAGCCACCACATCCAGCCAGTCTTTTTAGATGAGATGTGAGGGTTGTTTCCAGGTTCTAGAGATTGTCACATTCCTTAGTTTGTGGTCCTGTTCTTTTTTTTCTTCCACTGCTAAGAAATGTCTTCTGCCAGAGGTCCTCTTCTTTATCTTCAAATGCAGCAGCAGTAGACGGAGCCCTTCACACATCTCATCTTTCTGACATAGCTAGGAAAGACCCTCTGCTTTTAAGGATTCATATGATTAAATTGGGCTACCTGAGAAATGCAGAATAATCTCCCCATCTCACGGTGTGTATCCTTAATTACATTGCATTGTCCCTTTCACCATGTAAAGTAACATATTCACAGGTTCTGGGGATTATTAGTGTGGACATCATAACTTTTTGACCACACCACTGAAGTAGCTTTATAATTTCTTACATGAATTTCCCTTTGTATTTCCTGGAGTCAGTTGTATATGTAACAGCCAGAGTTACATATGCAATCTAACTGAAGTCAAAATTGTCATTTCTTTGTTCTCCAATCAAAAACTCGTTTTTATATTCCTCTTCCTATTTGAATATCTTCTTAACTCATGTTCCTATTTGAATGTCTGCATCACCTGTGTTAAACCACTGTTGAAAACATTGTGTTATGAATGGGAGATTATTATGAGAAAGCATTGTGCCTAAGTAGAAACTAAGATAAATACTCACCATTTATTCTGATTTATTACCACAGTTACTCTTGCACCAACCCAAGAAAAAAACAAAATACTAAAGACATAGAAAAAATTTTCTATTTTCTATTTGTCACCTTTGCTTGAGAATTTGTACTGTACTGACCTTCCCCTTTCCTCCCCGACACCCCCCCACCAAGTTCTCTAGCACAAATTCTTAAAATGGCAGTGATCACTCATAATTTAAGCCCCAGCAATGACTTACTGTGGAATAGAAGAATGGCTTGAAGGTGGCATGTCATGATGTATTAGTGATGTAGACATAGTAGGTAATGTTTTGAAGGCAGCTTACAAGCATGGTATGCTTAGAACATAACAAAGGTGGTGAAGATCCCCTGGGCAGGGAGAAGATCCCTTGTGAAGAGTCTCATTCAGAGTTTAACTTTGTAGTTTATTATTATTTTTTTTTGAGACGGAGTTTCGCTCTTGTTACCCAGGCTGGAGTGCAATGGCGCGATCTCGGCTCACCGCAACCTCCGCCCCCTGGGCTCAGGCAATTCTCCTGCCTCAGCCTCCTAAGTAGCTGGGATTACAGGGACGTGCCACCATGCCCAGCTAGTTTTTTTGTATTTTTAGTAGAGACGGGGTTTCACCATGTTGACCAGGATGGTCTCGATCTCTCGACCTCGTGATTCACCCGCCTCGGCCTCCCAAAGTGCTGGGATTACAGGCTTGAGCCACCGCGCCCGGCAACTTTGTAGTTTATTATACTGTAATGTAGTCATGTTATATTGTGTGTGTAATTATTATGTATCCTTCATGGTAGCTTCGTGAGAAGGTAGCAAAGGACACAAAAGCAGCCTTGGCATATGTGATATTTTCAAGAGTTTAATCTCTAAAACACCTCTTGGAGTCAGTATCTGCTTTTTCCCTTCTGTCATCCCCCACATTTGTATAAGTCTGCTTTAGTAATACCAGTAACTTATTGTACCATTAACTAGGTTATCAGAATTATCTGTTAAATTACAGGCATACCTCCTTTAATCGCACTTCACTTTTTTTGTGCTTCGAAGATACAGTTTTGTTTTTGTGTTTTTTGACAATCCTGCATTAAGCAAGTCTATCTGTGCTGGTTTTTTTTTTTTCCTAACAGCACATACTCAGTATATCTCTGTGTCACATTTTGGTAATTCTCACAATGTTTCAAATCTTTTCACTACTCTTGTATCTGTTATGGTGATCTGTGATCAGTGATGTTTGATGTTACTGTTGTAATGGCATTGGGGCACCACAAACCCTTCCCATGTAACACGGCAAACTTAATTGATAAATGGTGTCTTTTCTGACTTACTGGTAATTATCCCATCTCTTTCCTTTTGAATCCCTGTTCCCTGGGACACAACAATATTGAATTTAGGCCAACTAACAACCCTACAATGGCCTGTAAGTTTTTTGTTTTTTGTTTTTTTTTTTTTTTGAGACAGAGTTTCGCTCTTGTTACCCAGGCTGGAGTGCAATGGCACGACCTCGGCTCACCGCAACCTCCGCCTCCTGAATTCAGGCAATTCTCCTGCCTCAGCCTCCTGAGTAGCTGGGATTACAGGCACACACCACCATGCCCAGCTAGTTTTTTGTATTTTTAGTAGAGACGGGGTTTCACCATGTTGACCGGGATGATCTCAATCTCTTGACCTCGTGATCCACCCGCCTCGGCCTCCCAAAGTGCTGGGAT